AAAATATCCAAGATTTTTAAAAAAAATAATAATCTTTTTTTTTTCTTGTGCTTTGTGTGTTTGGATTAAAACTCGTGCGTAAAAGACGAACAGGAATGTTTGGAAGCCTGTTGCTGGGCCAGAATCCAGCGCCTTTATGGCTCCTTGTCCTTTTTTATAGGACCTGCTCAGCTAAAGTGGGAGCAGAGGGCGGAAGGTTCCCAGGTGAAAAACAAAAGAATCGCGTCAAATGACCGTGAGTCTTGCGCTGTCCCCGTCGGGTAGGAATCCAATCATTTCCGCTCGGCCCTTTTGTCCAAAGATCCCAATCGCGCGGAGAAGAAAAGGAGGAGAGAGAGAGAGAGAAAGCAAATGGGTGTCATTCTGGAAACGGCCTAATTGTGTCTGGACGGTCATAAAGCCATTTAAACTGGAATGCCAGACAGTATAGCAGACCAGGCGTTTTATGGCGCTGTCTCTGGCCGAGTCTTTGAAGTTTGGGTCCATCTGCGTCCCCCAGGACGCGTCACAACAGCACTCCCGTTGGACAAAAGTCCGGTTCTGCAAGTATGCTGCACGGCTCTTGGTGAGCTAAAATGTTTGGCTGTTTTAGCTGCTGGCTTCATTTGGCTGATCATAACATCTATCTATAGCAGCTCTGCGGCTGGCGCGCATTTTGGTCTCTTTGTGTCAAATARTTCCCTCCGACACGCAGAGACAAGTGTCTACCCTAAAATGAAAGCAATCYCTCTTCAAAAACTAGCAAATTAAGCAGCTCGAGGCCAGTTTGGTCTTTAATTTAAAMCCTACAATTAAAAGATTTACAATTTTTGATACAGATTTCCCCCCCACTCTGGATGTCGAAGTGGTGCCAAGTTGCAGAATTTTTTGGCCTCCTCAGATCTGCGTTATTTTTGGTCGTCAGCTGTCGAAGAGCTCAGTGACTTTTGTGTGTGTATGTGTTTTGTTTTGTGTCCTCTCGCCTCGCAGCGCTTTGCACCCCATAAAAGGTTATAGCAGTAATTGTCTTTTATGGCTGTATACAACGTCCTCTGCCAAGACGCAACTCCGTCTCCAACACACACACTCACACACACACATTCGCTTAAAAAACTGCGTGCATATTAATTAGCCTCCATGTCCAGCCTTACAACTAAAAATAAAAAATAAAACTGTTGCAAATTATTGCTTATGTCTCCAATTTTGTGTTATGTTTCTGCACCAAAAAAAACGCAGGAAAAAAACGCAAATTCAAAAGTATCCAGCTCGATGAGGTCAAACTGTTAACAGAAAGAAGCTGAAGCCCTTTAAAACTCGAGATATAATTTGTTTTATTTAATAAATAGTACAAATTACATTTTGTGAAGCAATAGCAGAAGGGTCAGCAGACCACGAGGTATTCAATGAGAAGCCTACAGTGTTTCATTTGAAATTGTTACTCCCTGAAAACTGTGTCAGACAAAAAATCACAACGATACAAGCAGACCTACTTTATTCATTAGACACCTTGAAACGCAGAGCTATGGTAGGTAGTTGAAAGACGTAGGTAGTCTATAACTTCTATAGCATCTTAAGGGAAAGATGTCTGCAGTTTATGTACCTCTGTACTTCAAAATGTGTTTTTTTCCCTAAATATTTCTAAACTCATAGTATCAAATTCACGGTCATCCTCAGTCATTGTTCTATGGAGAAACAACAATAAAATTAATACTTTTTTTCTTTTCATATATATATATATATAAACTAGACTGACTCTGAAATAGACAACAAATAGAGCTACAAACAAAAACAACACAGCTAAAAACATCCAGGCACAAACAAGCACGGGCCAACTAATTCAACGAGGTATTAATTCAAATCAACAAAGAGAAATTTAAAAAAAAGAAGCAGGGGCACTGTCAGAATTGTGCAATATTAAGGTAGCATCAAACTAAAGCCCAACATGCTTTATTTTTCTTTTTAGTTTTTTTATGTTTTTACAAGACAAATGATCCTACAGCTGTTTATATAGAACAATAAGACGGCGGAGTTGAAAAATAAAGGTCCAGCAGAGTTTGGCGCGTCATTTTTCACTCGTCTTTCGGCGCGCCGTCTTTGTTAAACTTCTTCATCTTCATCCTGCGGTTCTGGAACCAGATTTTAACCTGTCTCTCCGTGAGGTTGAGCAGCCTCGCCACCTCGTACCTGCGGTCCCGGGTCAGGTAGGTGTTGAAGAGGAACTCTTTCTCCAGCTCCAGGATCTGGTGCTTGGTGTACGGGCAGCGCTTTTTTCTCGTGGCGCTCGCGTGGAGCCAGTTAGACACCGGGTTATCTGAGAGGGGAAATGGGATTATTATTTATGTATATATTTTTTTAAATAAGACTTTAAGATGTAGCCCAATAGGTTCAAASAAGGCTGCGCAAAATATCTGCAATCTGAGCATGGTCATTAACAGCCTGCATAAGGAAATGGCACGTTCAGAATGCCATCTGACGCGCGCCCCCACATCCACAGCAGCATTATGGTATAAATAGCTCAAACATTAAAGACCAGAGGGGAGACTTACTTGGGTCCAGGCCCGGTTTCTCCTCTCCCTCTCCGCTCATGTCCCCTCCCTGGACGGAGAGCTCGTCCTTCTCCCCCGGCGATGGTGTCGCCACGGTTCCGTTCGCGTAATCGGAGAGCAGCAGCGCCGTGTGGGAGCCGGGCAGCGCGCCGTCCCCCCGCGCCCCCAGCCCCTCRGGTTTGATCCCGTAGTGGTGGCCCGTCGGCATCCCGGTCATCGGAAGGGAACCGGACACGGGTTCGAGGAGCCACGACTGATAGCGGCCGTCCGCGTCCATCGCGCCCTGCGGATGCCCGTAGTGGTGGTGGTACACGGAGGAGACGGTGCCCGGGAACTGGGCTGGGACGTGGTTCCATGTCGGCCCAAACACTGGGGGTTTGGACGGGAAGGTGCATGTCCCCAGCTCGCCGTGGTCGCCGATGGAGGCGGGCTGCCTGGCGTGCTGGAGCCCGGGACCCGAGGGGTACCGCGGGACGGAGAGCTCCTCGCTCTCCGGCAGAATGAGAGAATCGACGTAGTAGCTAGTCAGTGTTCCGGACGTCGACATGGCAGAGAAATTATCCTTTTCACGTGTACGCAGTCATACAGCAGATACATGCAAATAAAAAAAAAAGGTGCAACACACACATGCACACACGCACGCACCTCTACATAAAAACACACACACGCACACACACGCAGTAAAGCCAGCCTCACAAAATAACAATGTGGAGAAATCAAGTAGCAACTTGGCCCCACAGAGTACTACAGTGGGAAAGTAATGGGGAGACACGCTGCCACGCCATTGGGTAGCGCAGTCACGTGATCATAAGGCTTAACAATAAAAGATAAATCAATCCCGCAGTCATTAAATACTCACCCGCTCAGCTATAATAACTGACTTTTATAAGAATAGGCAGAATTAAGGAAAAAATATCTGCAAAATCTCTGTAAAAGACGAAAAGAATGAAAAATAAAAACAGAAAAAAATCACCTTATAGTAAAACCTGCTGATGGGAATCCTCTCTTCATTCAAAACGATACAATATGTATTTGGAAGCTTACTTTTTACGAGATACTTTATTGGAGACGTAAGCACCCTGCCACTGCTGTGCGCCAAAACCCATTTCAGAAACAGAAGAAGTTTGCAGCTCGAGAATCTTGCGATCATAAATTCCGAGCAAACACATTAAAAACATTCTGTTTTTATTTAGATCGTTGGAGGCTGTCAGACATATTCCAATGAGCATTTTTCTCCCCCTTCTCTCCTCCCTCACTTTTGGAGCTTCACGTATTATTTGACAGAAACACATCAGAGACAGTGGAAGTTGAAGCTAAATTTATAGAGCAGCTTTTGCAAAAATAATTTTTAAAAAAAGGAGCGACGGCCTCCATGTTGCCTCCGTGCTTTTATTTTCTTTTTCCTCAAAAAAAAAACGTTCCTCAGTGATTTCCAGGTTAATTACTGATTTATTATTATTATTTCTCAAACTTCTATTAATTCGCGTTAGTTTGCACACAGTTGTAGAAAAATATGTTTTCTAATTAAAAAGCTAGGAGTGGAAGAGCAAATCGAGGGGTTTAATTAAATATTACACTTTTATTTAACTTTATTGTTTAAAACAAATTAGAAAATACACTAAACCTGTGTCCGGTATATCATTAGACAAACTACATATATAAGTTTAGATGTTTTACTTTAATAATTAAGCTTTTTGTTTTCCCTGTGAAGGAAATACATCTTTATGTTGTTCTGTTGAATTAATTTTAATTATTTTACAATACGTTCTGAACTCATTTTTAGTTGTTTTTATACTGCTGATGTTTTTACAGTTTTTCCAAAGTTTTTTGCGCAAAAGTGCAAAAAACTAATTTTTATTTGGTCCCAACTTTGTTTAAATTAAAGGCTTTTATATGGCTACAAAATATTTAAAACGTTAAAAAATAAAAGCATAATGTAACATTTGTATGTGTAATGTAAGGTGTAATTTTAGATATTTTATTTTATAAAAGAAAAAGAACGAAACTACAAAAGCACTGCAATGTTTTCTTAAAAGCAAACAATTTGATCGCTGCTTTTTTTTAACCAAATAAAACCTCAAGCCTCAGTTTGCGCAACTTAAAGCTGTTTATGATTTGCACCAAATTATCACCCGCATATCTCCTATYCGTTTCATCACCGGCATTAACAAACACATGTGCCAGCAGCCGGAGCCTCGGTGCAACTTTACGCGCAATCGGCGCTAAAAATAGTCTTAAYCTGAGACTTGAGGTTTCATATCTTAAACCATGAAACGGCGCGGAGGGTGTCCAAAACTACAACACGTCTTAATTCATTTAAATTGAATATGAGCTGTTGTTTTGGCTTCGAAGTGCTTTTGTTTCTAATAAATACGATTAAAAAAGTGTTAGGAAACTTGACAAATACATAAATTAAAACATAGCTCACCTAAGTTTGCACACATAACAGAACATAATCTGAATTATAAATTAGACCAGAAATTAAACAAATGAAAAGGCGACAAGAAAATAAAAAAATAAAATTACAGTTGTGTGGGAATAAAGGGTAAATAATAAAGTATTGTTGTTTTTTTATAAGTGTGTGTGCTGTATTTATTCTAAACATGATAGTGTGGTTTTCAAAGCAGCAACCACCATTTTTTTCAGATTATTTTGGTGCGTTTTCTTATTTTGTTTTATTGGCAGCAAAATAAAAAAAAWATGCTGGCCAACACCCATACAAGGCCACAGGGAATTCATGACGCACGTCCAGATCTTATGCATTCTGGTCGCTTTGCATTACAAGAAGGACGACATTAAAGGGGGAAAAAAGGTATASAGCACAATATTGTGCATTCTAGTTGACTGTTATTGCACATAATTTGACCAGCAGACATTAGACATCAAACAAGCCGAGGAGGGCAAGGGGGTAGAAAAAAAGGAGCCTATTTGTGCACTAAAACTCAAACAAGAATAGACAAACACCTTCGGAGCAGGAAAGGACGCCACTGTGCCAACAGCTCTCAGGCTGTAAACCTAAATCAGAGTGTTTTTTACCACAGGGGCTATTCACTTTTTCTTCTTCTTCTTCTCCTCCTGCAGATAACAGCTTGTCTGGCGGATCTAAATATCACCATAAAGCCCTTCCCTTCCCCTTTTGTGTGCAGCCACCATGGCGCAGCGGCAGCATCCGGTCGTCGCTGCGCCCGCGGAGGTCGCTGTTGCCCCATTCACCTTCCCCTTCCCCTCCACTGCAGTGGTCGTAACCGAGGCCTTGTCTGGCGTGTCTGCGTCACCACAACACACGGGAAAACACTTCTTTCTTTTTTTTTCTCTCCCCTCCACCCCACACACCCATCACCTTTTAGATATCCAAGTCCAGGTCGCGGACTGCACCTGAGCTTTGGATCGCGCGCGCAACAACAACAAAAAAAAAACTTGTTTTACACCAACAAAGAAAACAATAAAGGAATGTGAAGAAATCAGGAGACAGATTGAGCACAGAGACAAGAAGCCAGTCACTCCTCCCCGTTTTATTACCTAGAGAGAGAGAGAGAGAGAGGGAGAGAGAGAGAGAGAGAAGGAGAGAGGGAGGGAGGTTTGTAACGTGCTGTCTATGCACCTATTTTTCAAACATCCTCGTGTCTCTGAGTCGCTTTGGTCTCGATGGTTGGAACTGGGGCAATTAAGACAGTTTCATGTTGCAGAGTTAGAAATGCACCCCAACAACATGAAACTACCTAAACCACTCGACAGTCGATCCCGGGAAGTGAGACGAAGCGGGGGAGGAGGAGGTTTGGAGCCAGGGGGGAAAGGGGTGGGGTGTGGTGGGGTAGGGTGGGGTGGAGGGGGGCTCAAATCAGGAACACAAACCGGCCAAATCATAATGCACTGTGGCGCTCGCTTCCGTTCTCGTGTGTAAAAAAAAATAAAAACAATGAGATGACGAAAACAACACAGGTTGCCTTTCATTCTCCCGCTTTTACGCACAAGCCTCTGCAACAACAACGCCCCCCAAAAAATAATAAAATAAATAGAGAATCAACACATTCAACAAAGATAGCACTCACCAGTTTCTCGGTGCTTTCCAGGCTGCAACAGAAAGCCATTTTTATCCACGAGGGGGGAGAGAGAGAGAGGAGGTGAACGGGTTTGCACGGTTCAGATTTCTAAGCTGTGAGCCGGGGCCTCCTCTCCGTCCGAAAGGCTCACTCACGACTGAAGCTGCTTGCTTCGAGGAGAGGGAGAAACCTCATATAGCAGCCAGTCATAAAACTCTACAATAGCCGGCTGGGCATGCAGCAGGACGGCTTATAGCCTTAATATCTTAATCATTTCTGACCAGTCAGTGCGTAAACTGGGTTTGGAAAAAGAAAAACAGGACATGAACCTCCACTGCGCAGGGAAATAACAGAGAGCCTGGTTTAAATGAAAACATGGCACAAGAAAAAAAAATATACAGGCAGCTACTCTTCAGTGCGAGCTGATAATTTATTAGGCATTACACAAAAACACAATGTCATATTTATATTTATATTTATATTTATGTACAGAGAAATATACATTCAAATAATCCTCCTTCACTGTTTAACTGTTCCTAAAATCCAAATTCCTAATTTCACTCTTGGATTAGCACCCATCGTGTTGGACTCGTATCACAGGGTGGAAGAATTTGGTAAACATGAGGTGTTATGTTGAAAGGTTTTGGAAGACTTCATGTCACATAGATCCAATTATGATCAAATTTGGTTAAATGTAGATATATATTTAAGCCGCAGGGCGCAGCTGTGTTTTGTGTGTGTGACTGAGAAAGTGTGTGTTGTTGTTGTTGAACTGTCCTGATTTAACGACACCATCCAGTCATATAAGGGATGTAACAAAATTACAATAAAATAAAATAAAATAAAACACGACATCAGAAAACAACCTCCAGTCAGCCGACATGTCTGGAAATGAAAAAAAAATAGGTTTTGCTGCACCTCACAGTAAAATGAGTGCGGAGAAAAGGGTAAGGAGGGGGTGGGAAGAACCTATTTACTTCTCTTTTTTCCCCATTTTCTTTTTCTTCTTTTAATTAATTTATTTATTTATTTGTTTTATTTTTCGTGGGGCTCAATCATGAAAATCCATAGCTGGACGTGAGCTCCCGGATCCGGTTCTCCCGCGTCATTTTCTTCAGCTTCATCCTGCGGTTCTGGAACCAGATCTTGACCTGTCTGTCCGTCAGGTGGACGCTCTTGCTGATCTCTAGGCGGCGCTCTCGGGTCAGGTACATGTTGAAGAGGAACTCCTTCTCCAGCTCCAGAGTCTGGTGCTTGGTGTAGGGGCAACGTTTCTTTCGGCCGCTTTTTGCCGTCAGCCAGTTGGCCGTGTTTTCACTTTTTGTGTCTCCTAAAGAAGTGTGGGGGGGAAAAGTGTCAGACCCGTGAGGGGAGGGAGGGGAGGGGAGGGGGAGTTACGCAGTGCAACGTGAGGGAAATGGAGGAGGAGGGGGTGAGAGGAGAAAAATAAAGACAAGGAGCATCAAATAAAACGTTGGAGTATTGTTGGGTTGCAGCAGATGACCTTTATATAATATAATATTAATCATCTATACATATATTTGCTAAAAAAAAAAGGACGGGTTTGTTGTTCAAAGACAAACTACTTTAAACTAAAATAGCTGCAGCCTGCCAAAAATATTTTAAATATATCCTGAAATCGTATATTTCACGTTTGAGTTTGCGCCAGTGTGTGTGAATGTGGTTTTGCAGGATGTGTGAAAAGATTTACAAAATACTCTGATCAGAGAACACCAGAATATACACCAGAATCACAAATAATAAACATATATAAATATAGGAACATATAAATACGTGACGCACTGGTAGTAGTAGGCCTTTACGCAAAATTTACGCAWCGTTTACGCAGCGGCCAAACTAAACACTAATTAAGTTTTTTTTTCTTGTTTTAAAAAAATGCTGGATTATAAATAATAATTGTACAGATTTGAGGAATTACTCCAACATAATGTTTAGTCTCAAACAAATGTCCCATTTCAATATTTTACGCATTTTGGAGTTTCTGCGTCCCTGAGAATTTAGTTTAWTTCGGATTTTTAGCATGTGAACGCTTTGCAGACAGAAACCTTGACTTGTCAGCTGAGTCTAAACGAGCAAAATAAAACATGACAAGTGCCATTAAAAACTCTACCTGTTTGCCTCCAAAACAAGTCTGACCACACCTWTAAAAACCTGACTGGGGTTACCTTTACTGGTCTTTTCCGCTCTCTCCTTGTCATTTTCTTCAGTTTCGTCCGCGGAAGAGAGTTCCCCCTCCGAGGAGTCGCGCGCCTCCTCGGCGCCGGACGTGGCGTGGGGCTGCAGGTTTCCCGAAGACACGAGCTCTCCCTCCTCGCTGTCCTTCCCCTCCTGTGCCGCGGTGGCTCCCGGAGCTGGAGCCGAGGTCGGTGGCGTGTGGAAGCGAGCGAGATCAGTGGGGTGCAGGCCAAAATGGGAATGGGAAGGGTTCGACTGGGGGCCGTCGGTGTTGTAAAGTTTATGAGAATGTGCGTGCGTCTGAGACAAGCGGAAGTAGCCCGGCACAGGCACAGAGCCCCCGCCACCATCCGGAGCTGTGCAAGAAGTGGAGCCGAGACCGGCGGAGGTRAATCTGGAGTATGTCAGGTCCTCTGCCGTGGACGCTTTAGGGCACTTGGGCTGCTCGTACAGGCAGTAGGTGCTCTCTTCCTTGATGTTCTGCGGGAACGTGCAGGGTGCGACCTGGGGACCCGCTGGATGCTCTTGTTCCATCCGACATGACCTCTGCGCGTCCATCCACATTTCCATGCTGGACATGTACGCGCCCGAAGCGGCAACCATGTTCTGGTGACCCACCTCGCTCCGTTTAGCCATACCTGGAAAGTATCCATAGTTGTGTAGTCCGTAAGGCACTTCTGCAGCGGTGCTGTGAGGCACGCACACCGCGCTCCCAGTGTAGTGACCTCCGCCGCTGTCGCCGCGGCCGCTGATCAGTGAATCCACCAAAAACGCGTTTCCTGACGGGCTGTCCGAACATGACATTATTGTGGTGTATTTTGGCGAAGGGAGAAGATAGCCCTTTCTGGCTGACATTTCTTGTGCAAAACATGCTGGATATGATTAGAGGCACCCCCCACCACCACCACCCCCCTCCTTTTGCTCCAAGCGGATTGTAAAACCAATGAAAATGCTGGAAGAAGGTCAGTCTCCTCCCACTCTGAGGCTACGTAGCCAGACCAAACGAAATCCATCATGGAGCTCAGGCAGAGGGAAAAAAAAACAACAACAGAGCAATCAGTGCGTTCCCTCACCTCGCCTTAATGCACCACCCTGCACAGAGGGTCTGAAGTCCAACACAGATCACAGTTGTAAAAAAAATGGCATTATATTGTAAAGGGTACAACTAATAGAAATATAATAATAAGAATAATAAGAATAAAAAAACAGCATGGACTCTGATGCACTGATTGGTTTTACGCGCAACTCAAATCTTAACACAAATATCAACAAAGACTTGGATCTGCAAAACTTTTAAACCTTGCAAATAATATATTTAAATATATAAATTACTTAAATGCACGCCGAAAAAAATGTGCGTAAAAGTGGAAAATCAAGTTTAAAAGCGCATCGTGACCCAACAACAAAGACATGAAATAAAGCTACGGGAGTGGCRACTCTTTTTGAACAACACTGAGCTAAAATATTTGCTTAATATGGAGCAACAGTACACATGAAGACTCAAGTACTTTATCAGAAAAAAAACCAAGACATGAAAGCATTGGGGTCATTTTCGCGCGCCAATATGTACAAATCTGCTCGTTTCTATAAAGAAAATATCGATACATGAGCTCAGCTGTATTTAACTAAACCATTGTAACACAGCTGCATGGGCAACTGTTAGCAAGTCTGTGCGTAAAAATGGCACAAGAAGTGAAAAAGAATCTGTGACCAAGATAATTTAAAGTAGATGCAAATTAGTAATACAGAAAAGAATTTGGGATTTTTTTTCAACATTATTTTTTGCCTCTAACAGTATGGGCCGCACGCGCCATACACACACACACACACACACACACACACACACAACACGCATATATATATATATACTGTATA